ACCATTGCGCTTCAGTTTTGAAATCACCTGGCAACAACATGTACCTTGAATATGTTAAACTACCAATCAAACCTATATTTGAGCTGTAATGGATATAACTACATTTTCTGAGTTATTTTTCTCAAATCCAAATATATTCTGTGTTTTTAGGGGCAGTTGAGTAGTGTTTTTGTTTAAGTGTTCACTCAACATGCTGAAGACCTTGGTTCAATATTCCGCATTGGTACATTAGTACAGAGAAGAATACATAACACGCGATATTCCATAATATATACAATGATGTGGAACTTGTGAAGGCCGAAGCACAATCAGCATCAAAACTAATTAGGACATTATGAAAGAATGTATCCTAGTTACGTAATAGTGACCAGTAGATGTCAGTAGGAGCTGACAATTGTGTTCTGACACTAGTCTTCTCTAAAATTACGACAATTTTTACAGACATGTTATTGTGCTGGCCTGTCTTCTCTTGCTGTCAATATGGAATATGGCTTCCAAAAGTGCAAAATGATTTCTATATATAGCATATACATGTATTTAAATGTACTTATAATATTTCTTAACCATCTGTTGTATTTACATATGATACACATATTGTTCAAATCATTTATGTCTTATGTTATTTAGATGCCCTAATAATATTCATATCACATGTCTCTTGTGTATTAAAAATACAATATAAAAGAAATATACAATGAGTGGGAGTTGTTTATCATACAATAAAACACTGCAGGGACCATGAGGGACACAGCCCTGAGTTGTTTATTCTTCCTACAGTGTTTTAGTTAAGAATAGACTTTCACTTAGTGTGAGTTCATTGGAGTATGAACCTTCAAACTCACAATGTTTGGCCCTAACTCTTTGAAGGTTCATACTCCAATGAACTCACACAAAGTGAAAGTGTAAGCCAATTCTTATAATTTTTATATACTATTTTTTACCTCAAGGGAAGTAGACCTAGATTTATACACAATTATATTAAGTATGTGTGACATGTTTACACTGTTTACAGCCATTCAAGAACCAGCTGATCGGTGAAATAAAATAGTTCCTTAAGAGGTGACATGAACGTATGTCAGCTCAGCATGGGCTACAGGAACAACTAGTTTCTTTACAACAACTGTATTAAAATAATATCCTCATTAGGTGAGAAAGGTCTGTTAAAGGGGCAGTGATCTAAAGCAACTCCCCGGGACTGGTTGTTGCCTTTGTTATTGTTTTTTCCCGTGAGTACCCGGATGATATAGCAGAAGCCTAGATTAGTTCGCGACTTGTGCTGCGCAATTCGTAAGCGCATTTGTCACTTTTATTGATAGTATAAGGGTGTATGGTCACATTCATCAACAAAATGAAACACAGTTTTGGAAATCAACAAATGAAATACAGTTTTGGAAATAATAAGGAAATGTAGGTATCTTTGTGGGTATCATCGGTAATGGTGACGAAGTTTTGATAAGTCACTTTCTTGGTAATTGTGCGATTTTCGTTGACACTATTTTGACTTGCAACACAAAGTAAATATGTCTCCTGAGTATTGCTTATTTTATCGTGTTTGTATTTTTACAGTCAAAATGTGCAATAAAAAGCCTGAATATTCAGTTATTTTACAAATTGACAGAAAAATATGTCCATCTGTATTATTATGACAACGAATTCCAAGCATTTTTATGTGTAACATCATCACCAAGAGACTGAAAATGTCACTATGAAAAGTTCATTTCTATATTGTTTTTAAGCCCTTTTGATTGTCTTAATCAATTTTAGTCAATCTGTTTTTTAAGAATTGGACAGACTTTTCAGTCAAAACGACTGAAATATTTACCCATTTTATAAATTGCCTGAGAGAATCACATTTTACAAATTGACTGCAATATATACACACTTACAAAGGAAAAGACTTGTGAAAACAACGACTATCGCGCATCGAAGAATTTCCCAACCAAGACATAGAGGAACAAGAATGAATCTGTCCAATGCTACAGCAAATGAAGGAAAACAAAATGCAAATATCATAATTACAACCTACCAAATTTATGTGTATAATTTTAGGCAGCTTCCTTGTTCGAGGAATGTATCCGTGAATATCCACACAAAGGAACAATATCCCACACGTCTACAGCTGAACAAAGAAACTTATTCGATGTCACGTGTCTCTGTAACAATCAACTATTTTAAAATATATACTAGTATATCGTTTCGGGATATTATAACCCGTGTTCGTTTCTCAACTGATCACTTAGATTGTTTCAGGTGTTTCACATAGGTGTCAAGTCAAAAAGGTCGTCCGAGAAAGCCCACGTAACAACTATTTTCATAATGTCCACGGTTCCTAAAAAAGACCATTGAGTTAGATAACAATGAGCAATCAATCAACGTATTATCGGTTAACCCTTTAAACAAAGTATGTTGTTTTTACATCGGCACTTCATGCCATGATATGAGTGTATTCCCCTTGTTTTAGTAAACCTAGACATGTAAACATTCACTTTTGACATATCCACTGTGGAAGATAACAGCGATTAATCAATCAACATATTTTCTGTTAATCCTTTGATGACTAGGAACGATCCGTTGATTTACAAAAAAGTAAATCAACTGATCATTCATCTCTTGCTGGGCTGCCACATGCATATTACATAACACACATTTCACCTCACTTGGTAACCTCCCAAATGGAAACCTTTGTCATGTATTCTGAGTGGTGCTACCACTAATTATACCTGTAATAAATTGATTAACTGAGCATCCAGTGAATGAAGACAAATACACAAGTGCAGGGTTACACCAGAAAACGTGGATGACAACAAGGGAGTAGTAATCATATTATCAACGCAATCCGAAATCCGAAAATGCTTTCACTGCATGGATACTTTTTTATTATTAAACTATAACAATTAGGGGTATTTCCAAATGATGACATCCGATGAGCTACGCCGTTCTTTTTGTCTGTTTGTTTAGGCTGAAGAAATAAATCAACATGCGCCCTTTGTCAAAATCTTTATAGATCACGGTTAACCAATCAGTGTTCAAAAACGAGTAAAACAATTATTGCCTCCAAGTTTATTTAGCTGTCCTTGCAGACGGTAGCCCAGTCTCTTGTTACGCTCAGTTGCGTTACGTATCATCAGGGTACTCACAAAATGTCCGACACGATAAACATGACGGGAGAGATTTCGAAAGTTGTTAATGAACCTGTGGCTGTTTCAAGTGTTGGTCATCACTGATCAAGTAGACGATCATGATGATCGTAAAGATGTGTCAAATAGACTCAAAGGTAAATTTATAGATGTCTGTAGTCTGTCACTGTAGTTTAGACACGGATAGAGGTGATACTACGATACTTTGGATGTGCTTTTCTTCCTTTTGTTCTCTAGGATTGGTTGTAGTAAGTATATCCTTCAATCAAACTCTCTGACCTATCGTCGTGTATGCTAAAACGCTAAGTTCAAGATTAAAGGGTCTTAAAGGATGTGAAACAGAGAGATGAGAATGATGAGAAACAACATATTTATATTTATTTGTGCAAGGGTGTTCCTAGGGATTTCTCTCGAACATGAAAACAGTCTGTCAGTGTTTACGTCATTTCAAGAATAGAGGCTCGCGAAAAACGTATGAACTTCAGTTTCGCGTGTCATGTGACCGACCTCTCGTCCAATGGAAAAGCCATAATTCGTGAAAACTTCAAATAAAAAAAATATTATACGATAAACAATGACAAGTCGTTTACTTCTTACATGAGATACAGTCAACATTATGTACAGCCTCTTTAAAGAAGTTGATAAGTTGATGCTTTAAAAATAGTTACCTTAATTTTAATGATAATGACTTCTTGAATAGAATCCAACCTCAGCAATGTTGGACAATTCCATTTTATGAACAGGTCAGTCATATTTGGTATTTCCCACACATTCTCACAATCCTCACGTCATGCAGTTATCTACTGGTACCTTTTCTCATCATGCCCCAGATTGTCATATCTCTCCCACTTTCAGATGCAATCGTTCGGCCACTGTGTTTATCTTTGTACCCCAGCTACATCTATGGGGAACAGCTCACGAGACACTTCCCTCTCAAAAAACCCGTCATATATGACGTCATCACGCTGCAAACGCATATTCCAATCTCCAGAAATGATGTCATGACATAACAATGTTTTATGGTGAAATTAACCATGCTTCAATCCTCATTGCTCTTTGCAATGTATATGTAGCTTTCTTAGCTCTATATGTATATTTACGTGTGTGTCTGTATGTGTTGAAATTTATATGAATATATGATACATAAGATAAGTTTAGATTCATTTATGAACGTTTAGCTGCATACTAACTAACAGATTTAGTCCAGTTGTCTTTATAATGATAACGTATATCAAAACACTTAAAATGGGCAAATGTCAACAAGGTTCATCGTTGGACAGTGTTGGGGACTATGGGACAAGTAACAATTTCTAACTCAGTTCAGGATATTAAATATATATTTTACCATCTTATAGATCTATTTATATAATATATTTGTTTACTTGACTACATAGGGTCAACAACATTGTCGTATTTGGCTATTGACACAGCTCCAACCCTGGCTTGAAGAACATAGGACACTGCATGACAAGGCATGGATAGAACACTGGACATTAGCAATGTGACAGATGGACACTTCCTATGTCATATCATCTAGCTTCTAGTTCTATACTGTGACGCACTGACTGAGAACCAAACTTCAGATTGAGAAGACCTAACTGTGTAGACAGGAAGTGAATTAGGGGTTGAGTACACGCAGAGTACATTTGGTGACATGGCTGATGGCGCTCGTCCTATATTGAGCGTGCACTGTTGATAAGTCTGACACTGACATCAGATCAAGGCTCCACCGGTGAACGCCTCCTCCCTTCCGCCAGCTGACCGCCGACTTAGAGAAAGCACAACCACATTAAGCAATCACAGCGATCCTATCCGTTGGCCTTTAATGTTTTTATCAGGAATAATAAAGCTACGCAGACTTACCTACAGCTGATGTTTGTCTGTCATACAAGTCTCCGGGTACACCTTGGTTTTGGAACTGCCGTTATCTCACAAGGACGGGCGTGTTTACAACAGCCGGAGGTCCAAGGGAAAGCACCGACTGTGTGTTACGTTCGTCGTCAGACAAGGATTACATGTTACGAACCTCAGACGAACACGATATTTTCGTTATTTGTTTGAACACAGACGTAAATATTTTACGTCCGTTGTTTAAATTATTTCCAAAAAGTGTCATCGTAAGTTTCGGAGGGACTTGTGTTTTCTGTGAAGCATTATTATAGATTTCTTGAAAGAAATGGTATTTAACTTTGCGACAAATCCTTGGTCAATTCAAATAATATTGTTGGTCTTCTGGATGAATGCCCGCTAAAACAGGCAAGAGGCATTGAAATAGACCCGCAGCTGCAGCATGTTACGTCTATCTTGTTCAGTATCTTACGATCTATCATTGTTACTTTGGAGTACTTAGTGCTAAACAACATAGGTATATATACTTATTAACATCAATGTTTATACAGTAAATTGATGTTAATAAGTATATATACCTATGTTGTTTACCACTATCAATCACTTGCTGGATAAAGGTGTTAGGGTCTACACCGAAACGTCGCACTAATTGTAATAAAGAAGTTGTTCATCCATAGAACTTGTCTTACTTCATCACACCAACTTCTAAATGCCACTGAAAGAAGTTACATTATTACTTTGTTTTATTTGTAGAAAATGAGAACAAATGATCGAAAATGTCAATCATTGTTTTGGATGATGTCAGTGTAAACGCACAACTGCAGTCGGTTCCTTCACAAAGCCATGCATGCTTGCACCGCAATGTGCTTGAAGAAGTTATTCAGTAAGCGTTCAGCCCTCTGTGAGAAAGATTTTGAATATTATCCAAAAAGCGTTTTGCGCTTGGTTGTATGGAAGATGTTGTATATTATTCAATAAGCGTTAGGCGCTGGTTGTATGGAAGATGTTGTATATTATTCAATAAGCGTTAGGGGCTGGAAGTATGGAAGATGTTGTGTATTATTCAATAAGCGTTAGGCGCTGGATGTATGGAAGATGTATATTATTCAATAAGCGTTAGGGGCTGGAAGTATGGAATATGTTGGGTATATTATTCAATAAGCGTTAGGGACTGGATGTATGGAAGATGTTGTATATTATTCAATAAGCGTTAGGCGCTGGATGTATGGAAGATGTTGGATATTATTCAATAAGCGTTAGGCGCTGGATGTATGGAAGATGTTGTGTATTATTCAATAAGCGTTAGGCGCTGGTTGTATGGAAGATGTATATTATTCAATAAGCGTTAGGGGCTGGAAGTATGGAAGATGTTGTGTATTATTCAATAAGCGTTAGGCGCTGGATGTTTGGAAGATGTTGTATATTATTCAATAAGCGTTAGGCGCTGGGTGTATGGAAGATGTATATTATTCAATAAGCGTTAGGCGTTTGGTGTATGTAAGATGTTGTATATTATTCAATAAGCGTTAGGGGATGGACATATGGAAGATGTTGTATATTATTCAATAAGAGTTAGGCGCTGGATGTATGGAAGATGTTGTATATTATTCAATAAGTGTTAGGCGCTGGATGTATGTGGGTCATTCTCTAAAAAAGTAACATTTCCTGTCCAAATGAATTTTCTTAAAAAAAACTCATAATTCTGTTTTCAGATTACTTGACAATGAAGATATCTATCAGATGTATACAATATTCTGATCAAATTACTACTATAACCTTATGTTAGCCGGCAAAATACCTTAAATGTGCAGAAATGTGCAGAAACTTGTTGTCCACAAATAAAAAATCAAACTTTCTCAAATTATCTTAAGTCTCTGGGAACAAATACTTTCCAAAGCCCTGGTGATTTATGTAGCATGACAGCATGAAAGGTTGATAACAGCAGAAAAGCTATTGGTTTTCCACTTGGATTCATTATTTTTGGAAACAGTAATCGTGTCCAGAGTAATAGTGTCTTTCCTGTCACTAGATAGTACAAATAAAAATAATAATTGCTCCTTTGGTAAGCCAGAAGGCTAAGGTCTTTGCAGGTCTCTTCCTTTCCAGTACTATCATGGCACCATATGCTCAAGCAATTTATATTGGTGCAGTGTCTTCAAAATAACTGGTAAATGTTGTCTTTTGATTTGTACTTTTTGTAGGTGTCTGTGCTGTCACCACGCTTTTTGGGTTCCGAAATTGTTATTAAAAAAATCAAATATAATGAGTATATTTGACTGTCAGAATGGAACTCAACCAGTGTGCTTTTTCAGTGCAAGAGAGAAGTTATTGTCCTAAGCTGGCATTATGTCATAGTTTGTCTCTCCTGTCACTGTCTCTGCTGTCACCTTAAAAAAAGTGACAGGACAGACATATTTAGGCGACAGCACAGACATATAGTGTTCAATAAATGTTTCAACATATATATATTAAAAGACAAAGAAAACATGAATGGTAATGTATTTTGTATGTTTGCTTGTTGCATGAAAATCTGAATATTATTAACATTTGGGTCAATAAACACTGATTACACTGCACAGTAGATCTTTGTAACAGCACAGACTTTTAATAGTGACAGCACAGACACATTTCAGTGACAGCAAAGACATTTTAGGATTTTTTTTATCATGTTGACACAAATAATGAACAATTATTCATTTACTCGCATAACTGTTGTACATGATTAAGAAATGTAACATATTTAGCAAATTTAAATGAAAGTAATGTTACATGATCACTTCAAACACCGTGTCTATGAGTGACTGTGACAGCACAGACACTTAACAGTAACAGCACAGACATTTAGTGTTTGATAGAGATTTTGAGAAAGTTTTGTTCAATGTTTCAGTGTCTTTAAAACTCTATCTCTTAGGCTTTTGTTAGTTACAGGAAAAATTGAATTTCCATTAATATTTGGGTCAATAAACACTGATTACACTGCACTTTGGTAACAGCACAGACATTTAATACTAACAGCACAGACACTTTTCAGTGACAGCAAAGACATTTTAGGATTTTTTTACCAAGTTGACACAAATAATGAACAATTATTCAATTTGCTCGCCCTACTGTTGTACATAATTAAGAAATGTAACATATTTAGCAACTTTAAATGAAAGTAATTTTACATGATCGCTTCAAACACCGTGTCGATGCGTGAGGGAAAGAGAGAAGTGGAGGTGTGTGCTGACAGAATGGAGTGTATGAGTGGGGAAAAGAGAGAAGTGGAGGTGTGTGCTGACAGAATGGAGTGTATGAGTGGGGGAAAGAGAGAAGTGGAGGTGTGTGCTGACAGAATGGAGTGTATGAGTGCAGAAAAGAGAGAAGCGGAGGTGTGTGCTGACAGAATGGAGTGTATGAGTGGGGGAAAGAGAGAAGTGGAGGTGTGTGCTGACAGAATGGAGTGTATGAGTGGAGAAAAGAGAGAAGTGGAGGTGTGTGCTGACAGAATGGAGTGTATGAGTGGGGGAAAGAGAGAAGTGGAGGTGTGTGCTGACAGAATGGAGTGTATGAGTGGAGGAAAGAGAGAAGTGGAGGTGTGTGCTGACAGAATGGAGTGTATGAGTAGGGGAAAGAGAGAAGTGGAGGTGTGTGCTGACAGAATGGAGTGTATGAGTGCGGGAAAGAGAGAAGTGGAGGTGTGTGCTGACAGAATGGAGTGTATGAGTAGGGGAAAGAGAGAAGTGGAGGTGTGTGCTGACAGAATGGAGTGTATGAGTGGGGGAAAGCGAGAAGTGGAGGTGTGTGCTGACAGAATGGAGTGTATGAGTCGGGAAAAGAGAGAAGTGGAGGTGTGTGCTGACAGAATGGAGTGTATGAGTCGGGGAAAGAAAGAAGTGGAGGTGTGTGCTGACAGAATGGAGTGTATGAGCGGGGGAAAGAGAGAAGTGGAGGTGTGTGCTGACAGAATGGAGTGTATGAGTGGGGGAATGAGAGAAGTGGAGGTGTGTGCTGACAGAATGGAGAGTCTGAATGATGATGAAATTCACTAAAAGACAAGTAAGGAAATGGTACAAAGTTCAGACGATGATAAGATGGAAAGACAAAAGGAAATACACCAGCCAGTTCATACAAATGAATGCTCCGGGAAATTTGTTGTCATTGTGTATAACATATCATATCCTGGTTATGTTGAAGATATAGAGCTAGGTGAAGTTTTTGTGGAATATATGCATAAAGCGGGAAAGCACAGGAATGCAAATTGTTTCTTCTGGCCACGCAAACTTAAAGACAAATGCTGGTACCAATTTGAGGACATAGTTAGCTTTGTACCAGAGCCTTCCAAAATATCACTGTCCTCTGACTATTGTGTTGAGTCTTCTTTGTGGGAAGATATGTTGGTAACAATTCATGGCAAACAATAACCTGTGTTTATATGTGCACATGAATGAGGTCATGAATGATTTACTGAATGTTATCATATAATGCTATCATTTGGTAAAAGTGCAAATATGTTATCAGACTTTGTCTGTGCTGTTACTGTTGAAGTTTTGAAAGTTGACTATTCTCGTTTCCTAACAGCTTTTTGCTTGGAATAAGCAACAATAACCTCAAAAAGTGCCATTAAGGTTGTTGGTAGAGTTTCTGATCAAGTTCTATTTTTGAGATGAGCAATTCCACATAAGATTGGTTTATGAAGTTTTGCTTGTCTGTGCTGTTACCAAACCTCACATTTTTATCTAATTAATGTCACATACAAAATACACCTAACACTTTGATATGCACATTCATTGAGTTTCCCTTTCTTTGACTACCTTTACTTCTGAAACACAGAACACAGAAATAGTTATTATAGTTTTGGCAATTACAAAATATTTTGTCTTTCCTGTTACCGTGTTGTCTGTCCTGTTACCATGAATGTCTTTCCTGTCACCAGGTTTCTGCCATCTCAAAAGCTATAATTGGTTCAACTCTGCTGACAAAAATATATATAATTCATAAAATGAGTGTAATAACTATTATTACCTTATAGAATAATGGTAGTTCCTTTTCAGTGTAAGCAGTAGACAAGTTTATCGTACATCTTTTTGCAAATAATTCCATTGTATGCATATATTTACAGTCTAATAATTAAGTAAAGCCAATAAATGAAATTTTAAACCTGTTGGTATTTGAACTATGCCAAAATGCAACAACCATATCATAAATTTAATTCATTTTAGATTTATGTTCGGTGACAAAAACTGAATTTTATGCACAGTAACAGCACAGACATTTGGTACAGAGATGCCAAAAATAGTTTTCTGCAAAAAGGAAAATAAGACATATTAAGCCTGCATACTTTACACCCGATTCAGTATTTGTTATGTTGTTTATCTGCTCAAAAAATTCATTTCAAAAATGAATTCTGATTTGTTGATTTTTCATAGGCCAAAATGTTACTTTTTTAGAGAATGACCCATGTAGGATGTTCTATATTATTCAATAAGCGTTAGGCGCTTGGTGTATGGAAGATGTTGTATATTATTCAATAAGCGTTAGGCGCTGCATAAAGGAAGATATTGTATATTATTCAATAAGCGTTAGGCGATGGATGTAAGTAAGATGTTGTATATTATTCAATAAGCGTTAGGCGTTTGGTGTATGTAAGATATTACATATTATTCAATAAGCGTTAGGCGTTTAGTGTATGGAAGATGTCGTTTATTATTCAGTAAGCGCTATGCGCTAGTTGTATGGAAGATGTTGTATATTATTCAATAAGCATTAGGCGATGAATGTATGGAAGATGTTGTATATTATTCAATAAGCGTTAGGCGTTTGGTGTATGTAAGATATTACATATTATTCAATAAGCGTTAGGCGTTTAGTGGATGGAAGATGTCGTTTATTATTCAGTAAGTGCTATGCGCTAGTTGTATGGAAGATGTTGTATATTATTCAATAAGCATTAGGCGATGAATGTATGGAAGATGTTGTATATTATTCAAAAAGCGTTAGGCGTTTGGTGTAAGTAAGATGTTGTATATTATTCAATAAGCGTGAGGCGTTTGGTGTATGTAAGATATTACATATTATTCAATAAGCGTTAGGCGTTTTGTGTATGGAAGATGTCGTTTATTATTCAATAAGCGCTATGCGCTAGTTGTATGGAAGATGTTGTATATTATTCAATAAGCGTTAGGCGATGAATGTATGGAAGATGTTGTATATTATTCAATAAGCGTTACGCGTTTGGTGTGTGGAAGATGTTGTATATTTTTCAATAAGCGTTAGGCGATCAATGTATGGAAGATGTTGTATATTATTCAATAAGCGTTAGGCGTTTGGTGTATGTAAGATATTGTATATTATTCTATAAGCGTTGGGGGCTGGATGTATGGAAGATGTTGTGTATTATTCAATAAGCTTTAAGCGCTGGATGTATCGAAGATGTTGTATATTATTCAATAAGCGTTATGCGCTGGGTGTATGGAAGTTGTATATTATTCAATAGCCGTTAGGCGCTAGATATATGGAAGATATAGATCATTCAATAAGTGTTAGGCGCTGGATGTATGTAAGATGTGGTATATTATTCAATAAGATTTAGGCGCTGGATGTATGGAAGATGTTGTATATTATTCAATAAGTGTTAGGCGCTGGATGTATGGAAGATGTTGTGTATATTATTCAATAAGCGTTAGGCGCTGGTTGTGTGGAAGATGTATTTTTTTCAATAGCCGTTAGGCGCTGCATATATGGAAGATATTGTATATTATTCAATAAGCGTTAGGCGTTTGGTGTATCTAAGATGTTGTAGATTATTCAATAAGCGTTAGGGGCTGGATGTATGGAAGATGTTGTGTATTATTCAATAAGCGTTAGGCGCTTGATGTATGGAAGATGTTGTGTATATTATTCAATAAGCGTTAGGCGCTGGGTGTATGGAAGATGTTGTATATTAGTCAATAAGCGTTAGGGGCTGGATGCATGGAAGATGTTGTATATTATTCAATAAGCGTTAGGGGCTGGATGTTTGGAAGATGTTGTGTATTATTCAATAAGCGTTAAGCGCTGGATGTATGGAAGATGTTGTATATTATTCAATAAGCGTTATGCGCTGGGTGTATGGAAGTTGTATATTATTCAATAGCCGTTAGGCGCTGGATATATGGAAGATGTAGATCATTCAATAAGCGTTAGGCGCTAGATGTATGGAAGATGTGGTATATTATTCAATAAGATTTAGGCGCTGGATGTATGGAAGATGTTGTATATTATTCAATAAGTGTTAGGGGCTGGATGTATGTAGGATGTGAGTAGTAACCTGCATCGGTCTAGGACCGTCACTTCCGTTTCCGGTGGCGCACGCCTGCAAGATGGCGTCGCATCCGTGTCCGGTGGCGCACGCATGCAAGATGGCGTCGCATCCGTGTCCGGTGGCGCACGCCTTCAAGAGGGCGTCGCTTCCGTTTCCGGGGAGGAGGAGGGATAGGGGGAAAACCCAGAGAAACGGTCGTACGAGGTGAAAAAGATCGACAGGGTTGTTGTTCTTGTGTTGTTCTAAAAATAGAAATAGAAAAGGTGGTAGTGGTGAAGGGAGGGTGGTGGTGAAGGGAGGAGGAGGGAGGAAGGAGGAGGAGGGAGGAAGGCGGGAGGGGAGTCGGGTTCTTTGTTTTGTTTTGTTTTGGTTGGTGTGGGGCGATGGCATGTGGAGATGATAGTTCACTGTAGTCCGGCAGAGAAATGAATATTTTCCCCCAACCCAGAATTAGGGGATAAAGTTTTTTTTATTACTGGATTTGTTTAATGATGTACTCTAGATTATGAAACTGACTGATGACACTCTGTCATCTTTGGGCATTTTGAAATGTTCAAGATGGCCGACAAGATGGCCGCCAAAACATGAAAATATCGCTTCCTTGCTAACAGTATGGAATATGATACCACTTTTGGAGCAAATCACTAATATTTTGCTTTCAACTAATTAGAATATGGTATTCTAAATGAACTGGTATCATTTAAAACATAATTTGATTCTTAAATAAGCAAGATAACTGGCAAAATGCCTGTCGAAACATTATAAAGTCAACAAGCACGGCATTCTTTTTAAGGATAATTGATTATTCTGAACTTTCAAAAATGAATATTGGCTCAAGGTTTTCTTCACATACATACAATCAGTTTAGGTTTCTTCCTCATCATCAATAACACGGTTAGTGAGTTGGATGAAGCAGACACTGGAGCTACAATGTAATAGGAGAAGGCCTCGTAAGTGTGTCACTTGTGCCTAATCCATTTGGTTTTCCGAAATAAAATATGTTTAAATCAATACCGCCGCTGGTAGTTTAATTTGTGAAAAATAGCAGGACATTCAGCTGTCGGGGCTATGGCTCAGTGGGTGATTGACGGTTTGTGATGGCGCCAGCTGGGGTAGGAGACGACACACTTTCCAAATTATTTCTCAACCTTATCTAATGCTAATTCAACAAGAGACACAGAGACACATAGTTTTTGATAGAGGCTACTTGTTATAATATATTGTTGATTAAAATATGTAAAACTATGTATCTCTGGTTGTCTTGTCATCCCTTCATTCAGTAAAGTGGACTGTTCCAACTACCCACATTACCTAATTATAAATCTCATCCAGGCATGGCATACCCACATCACCTAATTGTATTTTGGTACCTTGTGGGGAGAAATTAGGCGATCTGGGAGGACACCGTTATATCATCTAACATTGCCAACTCTGCTCTAAAGTAAACAAGAACCTAATTAGTGAGGGGTCCTTTATCATCCATATTTGACTGCTTATAAAAATCTTATATCTCTCCTCACAGCTGGTTATTATATATTTTTTGCTGCTGAATATTCGAAACAGAGTGATTGAGTTGGTACAACACATGCATACGGTTCCATTTTAAATGACTGCAGCGCTCCATTATGAAAACAAGTTGTTTTAACGCCGCTCTCAGCAGCATTCCAGTGATATATGACGGCGGTCTGTTGTATATGAAATAAATGCAAATTGAATCTTGAATCTTGAAAGCTGCAGCTTTTCCGCAAATCAGTATCACATGCAGTATACAGTATATCAACTGCAATATACTGTATACAACATGCAGTACACAGTGTGTCGCGAGCTCCGCGCTTGGCTGGAGCACACATTTCCTGCCCCTCTCCCTTCTGCAAACACCTCATGGGGGGTGTAATGAGGTCACAGGTCAGGCGTGCACTCGTCAGTTGTCTGATACGGTCAAGAGTAAGATCTTCCGGACTATCACTGCACTAGAGAAATGTGGATTGTTGATGAGGTACAACGTGTTTGGAACTGGGAGCTGAACACTAAGCACTTATGGAGAAGAGCTCACCATAAAACGTTATGGTCTAGCGTACGGACTTGTGTTTTCAATTCAAGACGTACATGTATCAAGTTGAACTTCTACGACAGATATAACTTGGTTACCGCTTCCTAACTGTAACATTAACTGAACTTTAGGCCTTTTATACATATTTGTGATGGGGCGACAATGCGACAACGAGACATATTTTGACATTGAAAAATGTCGCGTTACGGCATTGTCGCCCTTTTGTAAAATATAGAAAAAGATTATTCAAAGAGCGACAATGCGACAACGCGACAATGCGACAAATGGCCAAAATATCGCGTTGTCAAATTGTCGCGCTTTGGTTAATTTCGACACGTTTTGCTTGTTTTTGTAAGGGCGTCAATGCGGCAATACGACAACGCGACAATGTCCCTTCCAAGATTCCATAGTGATCCGTGCAAATAAAACTGAGTTATGAAATAGAAGTTTAACATGCCAGTTAAAAGATAAAGTATAAAAATGCGCTGATGAGTTCATCTGCATGCCGAGTCTATACGCTGTGATGAACAATAATGCTCTGAGCCAATACAATATAACTAAAATACTGTTCAAAGTGGTGTTTAATGCGATCACCGTAGTGTGTTACTGCAAATGTCCAAATTTTGTGTAGTGATGTTATGTAATATGTAAAATAAAGCATATTCAATTATCCAATTGATTTGATTAGAATATACTTGCATCAGTGTATTTTATTAACGCCCAAAACCGTATTTGTTAAACACATATAAAAACAGATCATATACACGCATTGTGCCTTGACTTACTATTAGCTTTAATAGGCCATTCCGGAATAAAATAGTTCCCCCCAAAGCGAGGAACATCTGTTTTAGTTTGTTTACAAGAAATGTATTCCAAAAAATATCCTCATTAGATGAGAAGGTCCGTTAAGAACTACCTCAGTAAGTCAATCACAATGACAAAGCGTTGTAATACATTTACATCAAGTACAAAATGGCCGACTATAAACGTGACGGGAGATATTTCCAAAGTTGTTAATTAACCTGTGGCGATTTCAAGCCTTTGTCATCACTGATCAATTGGCCGATCATTGAAAGGTGATTGTAAAGATGTGTCAAATAGATACTAAGGTAAATTCATAGATTGCTGTAGATTGTAACTACGATAGTTTGGATTTTTGGGTTTACTATGGGTTTACTATAGGGTTTACTATAGGGTTTACTATGGGTTGTTTTTTTGGCATCACGTGCGTCGGGGGACCAGCGCCATCTGATTGGCCGTTAACAGTTGTACAAGGCGGAGCAAAAAGCATCGTTTTTCCGTCCATTTTACGCTTGAAAAACTCGACGCTTTTCCGGACACTTTCTAGACGCTAACCAATTAATCAATTTTAATGAATTTTTAGTCGTTTTTCGGTCCAATGACCATATACGGAAAAAAACGTCGTTTTCGTGTTTGCAGTGCATGCTGAGATGTCAAGCTCAAGCTTTGAGGCAGCCATTGAAAGGGACCAGTCATTAATTGTTCCATTCTTTTTTTCCAAAAAAGTTGGCCCAATCTTTTTTGGCCCAGTTTGTTTTGGCATGAATTTCTTAAAAATATTTAACACAATTTAACATAACCATGTGTATAACAGACATAATAGGTTTTGCTTTATTTGCACCTCTTTTGAGGTTACTATTATTTTTATTTTAAATTATCTTTATTGTTTTTTATAATTTGATTTCAAAATGCAGTGGGAATTTATCTTATTTTGTAACTATAGAACATTAACAATCGTTAGAAAATCCACAAGCATCCCAGTTGACACTGAATAATATAATAACAAATGTATATATAACGATATATACTGATTTGGGGTTTTTCATAGACAATATTGCCTATTATTTTGATTAATTACATTTCCAAATGAAACTATTTAATTAAGAATAACATATTCTAATATGTTGAAGGCAAAACAATAGTGATATGCACCAAAAGTAGTCCCATATTCCATACAATTAGCACGGAAGAGATATTTTCATGTTTTAGCGGCCATCTTGGCGGCCATCTTGAATATTTTAAAATGCCCAAAGATGACAGAGTGTCATCAGTCAATTTCATAACCTAGAATGTGTACTTAAACAAATCCAGCAATAAAAAAAACTTTATCCCCCAATTCTTGGATTTTGTCCTCTCTGCCGGACTACTGAGACGAGCTTATCATACACAGTCGACGACTCTACCACTTTGTTGCTAGGTTGACGTCATATCGGCGAAGGATTTTGCAACAACATTTCACAAATCATGTCATCGGGTATGGTGATGTGTTTGTAAACTTTGAGGTGCAAGGTCTCGTTCCACAAGGCGATCGTGTATTGTAGCCTACTATGACAGCCGTGCGTCTAAGTTAAAAGTCGGTGAGCGGCAATCACCTCAGCGCTACGATCATGGTGTGGAATTCTAAAGTTTTTTTTGCTGAATTCTAAAGGTGAATCGACAGGCACAGACATGAACGTGATGTATGCCTGCGTACTGTCATTCGTGTCTCCATACAAACATGGTGCCACGCGTGACTACAAACACACGTTTATCCATAGGATGATGCATTGTCACTCGTTTATTTATACCGAGGTGCTGGCACTCGTGTATGTTGACATGTGTACTGTCACGCGTGTCTTCATGTACACGTACTGTTATTCGTGTCTCTATGCAAACATGGTGCCACGCGTGACGACAAACACACGTTTATCCATAGGATGATGACGTTGTCACTCGTTCATTTATACCGAAGTGCTGACACTCGTGTATGTTTACATGCGTACTGTCACGCGTGTCTTCATGTACACGTACTGTTATTCGTGTCTCTATGCAAACATGGTGCCACGCGTGACGACAAACACACGTTTATCCATAGGATGATGACGTTGTCACTCGTTCATTTATACCGAAGTGCTGACACTCGTGTATGTTTACATGCGTACTGTCACGCGTGTCTTCATGTACACGTACTGTTATTCGTGTCTCTATGCAAACATGGTGCCACGCGTGACGACAAACACACGTTTATCCATAGGATGATGACGTTGTCACTCGTTCATTTATACCGAAGTGCTGACACTCGTGTATGTTGACATGCGTACTGTCACGCGTGTCTCCATGCACACGTGATGTACTTCATGTCTTCAAACACACATGGTGTACTACGTCTCTCCATGTAAACGTGATGTACTTCATGTCTTCATGCAAAACGTAGTGTCATGTGTGTCTTCAAAAAGACATTGATCCATAGGATGTTGACGTTGTCACTCGTTTATTTATACCGAGGAGTTGGCTCTCGTGTAGGTCTACATACGTACTGTCACGTGTGTCTCCATGCAAACGTGATGTACTTCGTGTTGCCATGCAAACGTGGTGTCACGCGTGACAACAAACGCATGTTTATCCATAGGATGATGGCGTTGTCATTCGTTCATCCACGCCGAGGAGTTGGCACTCGTGTATGTTTACGTGTCTGTTACCATTTGTGTCTCCATGCAAACGTCATGTACTACGTGTTTCCATGCAAACGTGGTGCCATGCGTGTCTGCAAACAGACGTTTATCCATAAGATTATTATTTATACCGAGGAGTTGGCACTCGTGTATGTTTGCATGTGTACTGTCACACGTGTCTTCAAACAGACGTGGTGTACTTCGTGTCTTCAAACAGACGTGGTGTACTACGCGTCTCCATGTAAACGTGATGTACTACGTCTCTCCGTGTAAACGTGGTGCCACGCGTGTCTTCAAACAGACGTTTATCCATAGGATGATGACGTTGTCACTCGCTCATCCATGCCGAGGAGTTGACACTCGTGTATGTTTACATGCGAACTGTCACGTGTGTCTCCATGCAGGCGTGATGTACTTCGTGTCTCCATGCAGACGTGGTGTCACGCGTGTCTCCATGCAAAACGTTGTGCCACCCGTGACTACAAACAGACGTTACTAGAAGTTTAGATCAATACACATGCGTGACGTTTGCAAACGTGATGTACTACGTGTCTCCATACAAACGTATTGTCACGCGTGTCTCCATGCAAACGTGGTGTCGAGCGTGTCTTCAAACAGACGTTTATTAATATTATTATTTATAACATTTATATTTATAAGGATAGAGATCGAGAGATCAATAGACATACGTGGTGTTTGATTCGTGTCTCCATGCAAACGTGATACCACTCGTGTACACAACCATACATACAACCATACAAACATACATAGAGGCGTGGTGTCACTCGTAGGCGTGTACCTCCAAGAGGACTGAGGAGGGTGTGAATTCTTTTGGATTGTTGTTTGTACTGGCAAAGCAAAGGATGAAAGCGTTCTTTTGGGAGAGATGGGTGGCCCTGAAAAGGGCCGTTGGAAACAAACTGGAAACAAGCTGGACGAGGCTTCTCTCTGTTTTACATTACTTTCCCTGATCTCGATACTAGATAATAATACGGACCACCCCAACAGTCGGGGACGTCAACTCCGCGTTGT